ACCCATCAAGGGACACAAAGGGTTGTAGGGAACTGAGATTGTCCTTTTAAAAGGCTCACCTAGTCTCACTTATTCCTGGACCCAGTACAAAAGTAACAGTTTGAAAAGCACCTAGACTATATGTGAAGGGAATTCATTTGCTAATCTTAAGGCAAGGGGCAGGGGACAGCTGGGACTCTCTTCAGAGAAGGACACACTGGCAGATGCCATTTTGCACTCTCCCCCAACCTAACACAGGCAGGTATGTCAGATTTAGTGCCATCCTGCTGCCTTTCTAAGGCTGGTGGGGGTGGACGGTGGTGGCACTGGCTGGGGCCCATGAATGTGAGCAGTCACAACATTCTCCCAGTCCCTTGCTAAAGCCTGTGAGCATGGGTGTTGGCAGTACTGCTCCACTCCCTGGCTGGGGCCAGCAAGTGCCAGTGACCATGACATTCTCTCAGTCTCTTGCTAAACCTAGCAGGCACACACAAACAAAGCACTCTCCTACTGCACCTCTAAAGCCCACAGGCACATGCAACCAAAGCGTTTTCCCACAGCTCTGCTGAAACCAATGAGTGTGCCCTGCCCCCTACACTCTTCACCTGCCTTACCAAAGTCAGAGGGTGTGCACAGTCCATGCAGGGGATGCCCCTTGGTTGCCTGGCTCTAGTGGCCAAGGGGGTTCACATTCCTGGGCTGCACAGTACTGTAATTAAAAAGACAGCTCTTGGCATCCCCAGACTACCACAATCAGGAGACTGAAACACACCCCCAGCCTTCCTGTAAAAAAGGTACACTTACTTGTCCTAGAGCTTCAGCCATCTTTTTAGTATCTATTTCACTTATTTCTGCTCTGATCTTTATTATTTCCTTCCTTCTAACTTTGGGTTTCATTTCTTCTTTTAGTTCCTTTAAGTGCAAAATTAAATAGTTTGAGATTTTTCTTGGGGTTTTTTTTTTTTTTTTTTTTGAGGTAGGCCTGTACTACTATGAATTAGTCCTTAGAATTACTTTTGCTGCATACCATAGATTTTGATATATCACATTTTCATTTCCATTAGTCTCTTGGTATTTTTAAAATTTCTCCTTTGATTCTTTTGTTGACCCAATGGTTGTTTAGTAGCCTGTTGTTTAATCTCCACGTATTTGTGATTTTTCTACTTTTCTTCTTGTAATTGATTTCTAGTGTCATACCATTCAATGGTCATGCTTGATATGATTTCAATCTTCTTAAATTTAATGTGACTTGTTTTGTGGCCTAACATGTGCTCTATCCTGTAGAATGTTGTGTGTGCACTTAAGAAAAATGTATGTTTTGCTGCTTTTGGATGGGATGTTCTGCATAAAGCTATTCAAACCATCTAATCTAAGATGTCATTTAAGGCTGATGTTTCACTATTAATTTCCATCTGGATAATTTATCCATTAACGTAAGTGTGGTGTTAAAGTCCCCTACTATTATTGCAGATTTAATACCTATACTTCTCAAACTCTTCCAAAAAATTTTCAGAATGAACACTTCCAAACTCATTTTATGAGGCCAGTACTACCCTGATACCAAAGCCAGAGAAGAACATCACAAAAAAAAAGGAAGAAAAGGATATCAAATATGGCATTTTTTTATTATCATTAGTATATTAAAATGTTTATTATTTATTTGTGCACATTGTGCTAAGCACCATGTCAGAAACTTTATATGTTATTTTTAACCTTTTCAACAAATATTTTCCAAGATTCAGAATTCTGACTCTAAATTCATGCTTGTTTTCACATAGTTTTTTTATATTAGTTTTTAGATATCCATCAACCATTTATATGATATGCCCACTTACTTACTGGTTTTGTTATATAGTTGTCTGATATTAAAGAATCCAGTTGGTAGAAAAATAGATGATAAATATCAATAAAACAAACAGGGTTCTAGAGGGGAGGGGGTTGGGGGATAGGTTAGTCTGGTGATAGGTATTAAAGAGGGCACGTATTGAATGGAGCACTGGGTGTTGTATGCAAACAATGAATCATGGAACACTACATCAAAAACTAATGATGTAGTGTATGGTGATTAACATAACATAATAAAATAAAATTTAAAAAAGAAAAAAGAAAGAAAGAAAAGAAAATCATAGGCCAGTGTCCCTGATGAACATAGATACCAAAATCCACAACTAAATATTAGCAAACTGAATTCAACAATACATTAAGATGATCATATACCATGCTCAAGTGAAATTTTTTCCAGGGGATGCAAGAATGTTTTGACACCCATAAATCAATCAACATGATGCACCACATTAACAAAATGAAGGATAAAATCATATGATCATTTCAGTAGATGTAGAAGAAGCATTTGATGGAATTCAACATTCATTTTTGATAAAAACTCTCAATAAAATGGGTATAGAGGGACCACACTTCAACTAATAAAAAGGTCACATATAACAAACTTAGAGCTAACATCATACTCAATAATGAAAAGCTAGAAGCTTTTCCTCTAAGATCAGGAACAAAACAAAGATGCCCACTCTCACCACTTTTATTCAACATTACAGGGGAAGTCCTAGACACAGCAATTAGGAAAAAAAGAAAAGGAAATAAAAGGCTTCCAAATTGGAAAAGAAGAAGTAAAATCATCACTATTTGCAGATGATATGATACTGTACATAAAAAAAAAAACATAGACTCCACCAAAATACTACTAAGTTTAATGAATGAATTCAGTAAAGTTATAGGCTACAAAATCAACATATAGAAATATATTATGTTTCTTAATGGTAATAACAAGCTATCAGAAAGAGAAATTAAGAAAACAATCTTATTTACTAGTGCATTCAAAAGAATAAAATACTTAGAAATAAATTTAACCAAAGAGATGAAAGAACTGTACTTTGAAAACTATAAGACACTGATGAAAGAAAGTGAAGATGACAGGAATAAATGTAAAAACATACTATGCTCATGGATTGGAAGAATTAATATTATTAAGATGTCCATACTACCCATAGTAATGTACCAATCCATTGCAATCCCTATCAAAATACCAGTAGCATTTTTCACAGAACTGGAATAATCCTAAAATTTGTATGGAACCAAAACAACTCCAAATAACCAAAACAATCTTGAAAAAGAACAAAGCTGGAGGTATCATGCTCCAGGATTTCAAACTATGCTACAAAGCTATAGTGATGAAAACACATAAATCAATGGAAGAGAATAGACAGCCCAGAAAAAACCCCACACTTATAAAGTCAAGTAATCTGTGATAACAGAGGTAAGAATATACAATGATGAAAAGACAGTTTCTTCAATAAATGATGTTGTTAAAACTGGTTCACTTTCTTACACCAAAAACAAAAATAAACTCAAAATGTATTAATGGCTTAAATGAGAACTGAAAATATAAAGCTTCTAGGAGAAAATTCATGTAGTAAGCTCTTGGACATTGGTCTTAGCAGTACTTTTTTAGATATTTCTCCTCAGGCAAGGCCAACAAGAGCAAAAATAAACAGATGGGACTACCTCCAACTAAAAAGCTGTTGCACAGCAAAAGGAAACCATCAACAAAATGAAAGAAAAAAATCCTAATGAATGGCAGAAATTATTTGCAAATGACATATCAGGTAAGGAGTTAACATTCAAAATATATAAAGAACTCATACAACTCAATATCAAAAAAATCCAATTAAAATATGGGCATAGTACACCAGAATAGATGTTTTTCCAAAGAAGACATACAGATGGCCAACAGACATATGAAAAGATGCTCAATATTACTAACCATCAGGGAAATGCAAATCAAAACCACAATAAGATATCACCTCACACCTGTCAGAATGGCTACTATCAAAAAGATAAGGAATAACAAGTATTGGTGAGGATGTGGAGAAAGGGGAACCCTTGTGCATTATTGGTAGGAATGTAAATTGGTACAGCTGCTATGGAAAATAGTGTGGATGTTCCTCAAAAAATTAAAAACAGAACTACCATACAATTCAGCAATTCCACTCTTGGTATTTTTCAAAGAAAATTAAAACACTAATTCTTAAAAGATATATGCACCTTTATGTTCAATGCAGCATTATTTACAATAGCCAAGATATGGAAGCCACCTAAATATCCATCAATAGATGAGGGGATAAAGATGTGATGATAGATAGATGATAGATAGATAGATAGATAGATAGATAGATAGATAGATAGATAGATAGATGATTGATGATAGATAGATGATAGATGATAGATAGATGATAGATGATAAATAGGTGATGATAGATAGATGATAGATAATAGATGATGATAGATACATACATACATACATACATACAATGGAATATTATTCAGCCATAAAAAGAAATGAGATTTTGCCATTTTTAACATGGATGGATCTAGAGGGTATTGTGCTAAGTGAAATAAGTCAGGCAGAGAAAGACAAATATTGTATGATTTCACTTATATGTGGAATCTACAACAAAACAAATGAACCAACAAAACAAAGCATAAACATACTCAGAGATACAAAGAATAAATTAATGGTTGCCAGACAAAATAGAGCCTAGATATTTATTTTGAAACTCAAGATTGCTGCTTATGCAAGTTGCTCAGGTGTGTGTGTGTGTGTGTGTGTGTCTACAGTTCTTTTTGAGTTGAATGTTTATGCTGTACAAGAGTATCCAGGAGTGTGGGAAGTGGAAGAAAGTTGCTTTATATGGACAATAAGCAGCAAAAAAGGTGGAACAAAATTAGTGCAAGGACAGGTGGTCCTGGCCTTAGAATAAAAGTGGTCCCAGAACTATTGGGTTAATAAGGATAAACTAGGCCTTTTGTTCAGATTCTCCAGTTTGACCAAATCTGAAACTGTCAGCAGAGTAGATAATTCATAACATTTTCTCAATGAAAAGAATGTAGTCAGAACTTTATTTAGAAAAATCATAGATACATTGACCAGGTGACTATTCAAAACTCAATTAATTTAAAATCTACATAGGAAAATTTATACACATTATATTTAACACATGCTTTACCTTGATCATTATTCTCTGCAATCTTTTGCGTTCAAGCCATCCTCTGACATAGGCCTGTATGATGATGATCATTCTAACTACTTTTTTGGTATTTACAAATTTGGTCCTTTCCCGGAACACTTGGAAGATTTCTATGTGTGGTCCAATTCTTTTAACTTTATTGTCAAGTTTACCACTTTTACTTAGAATAGACTTTAGCCTAAAAATAAAATATAAAACTTTCTTATTATAGTTAATAAGAAAAATAATCACTTCTGAAAAGTCTCAAATTCATTTCAATCATAAATGTGTTAAAATAGGAAATGTATTATAATTTGTACATAGATTTCATATACATCACCTGAACATGTCAATAGGATTCTCCAAAGAAGTTTGAATATGCTAGAATCAATATAACATATATAAAATGAACCTTGTGAAGAAAGGAAATCCAAAAGAAAGCAAATTTGTCAAAGCTTATCCATAACTATTCAAAAGAGCAATATATAATATTTAAGGAACAAAATATTTTCATATGACAGAGCAAGTTAGTCAAAATAACTTTCTTATCCCAGAAGCTATTTTAAACTAAAGACTACAAAATTATTTGGCACTGGTATTCTGCTTACCAATCATCTGAAAAGTGATTTTATTTTCCAAAGGCTTTCAATCGAAAGGCATGGTAGTGTGTTGTTAAGGTCATGGACTATAGGATCACAGGAGCAAGCGACCATAATGGAAACCATAACAAGTCCTGACATACTGATGTGGATGGCCCTTGGAGTGATGATAAATATGTGAGAATACTACAGACTTTCTACTATAGACAGACAGACTGTAATCTTGGTAATCTTGTATCTACTTTTTTCATTTATATATGTTGTATTTTTTATATGGTAGTCAGTTTTTTCTAAGTCATCTAAAGTTCAAAGGCTAGTTTCCTTGCAACTTTTAGCATATAAAAATCCTTTTTTTTCTTGGTAATTTCTTTTGTTTCTACAGGTTTCACAGCTGAAATTCCAAGGAGATGCCCAGATCGATTCACATACCAGAACTGAGTCTTGCCCTAAAAAGTGACTGTATATAGATCTCTGGAACCTAGGCCCAACTTTCTTGATTCTCAGAGTGAGTATCATGACTCTGTTTCTGCATTTTTTTTCCCTCTGAGTTTATTTTGATGTCTGCAGTAGGCTGGTTCTTGAGGAGTCCTGTTCTACTTTGTACAACAGACATTATTTTTCTTTCCTTGGTGACTGAAATGTCACCAGCCTCTGTTCGGTGGTAGAGATGGTAGATGACAGGGAATCCCAGCTCAGTCTTTTTCATTTGTCTTTACTATGAGCCTTTTTTCTTTTTAAGATTTTATTTATTTATTTGAGAGAGAGAGAATGAGAGAGAGCAAATGAGAGGGGTTAGGGTCAGAGGGAGAAGCAGACTCCCTGCCGAGCAGGGAGCCCGATGCGGGACTCGATCCAGGGACACCAGGATCATGACCTGAGCCGAAAGCAGTTGCTCAACCAACTGAGCCACCCAGGCGCCCTTTACTATGAGTCTTGAAGTTTATGATATGCCTTGTATTACATGTTGTTTGAACACCAGTATAGCTAAAAATATTTGAGACAATTTTGTTCCCACTAGAATGAAGATCAGCTCCATATCAAGAGACTTTCATAACAAGTATTCCTTAGAGATCTTTTTTGATTCCCTGACATTCCTACTCCCAAGTAACCACAACTGAGGAGTGCAATTTGCTCAGGCACAGAAAACTGTGTTCCATATTTATTTTTAACCTATAGTTAAAGATGTAGAACTAAGGCTGTTCATTCTCTTTGTGCTTGTGTGTATAAATGGAAAAAAAAAAAAAAAGTCCTTACTCTCCTTGCAAAGGAAAAGTTAGCTTTGTACAATGTTCTTGTAACTGTAGCTCTTTTGTATCTATGGCTGGTCTTCCATTCTCTCAAGAAAACTTTTTTAGATTGAGTCAAAACTGTATCATTTTGTGTTCTGGAGAAATATCCCATTTAGACAAAGCTACCAGAAAAGGTAAAGAAAATGAAGCAAATTTTTCAATTTGTTTGTTTAAATTAAAATTGATTTTGCATAGCTTAGAAGAGAGCTCTGCCTTCTAAGAGGATTTTTGTTTGGTTAATACAACAATTTTTATGAATGGGCCTTGATGTCTGAAATAAACTGGTAATGAAGATAAAATGTTAATGATTACTTCTGGCTGTCCAGAGTTTCAGGATGTATAGCAAAACCTAACGAATTCTGAGTTCCTGGCTTTTTCTCCTTTCTCTCAGAAGAAATAAGAGAAGTGTTACAGAAATACCCAAGTGAGCCAAGTTTATACCCTAAGTTCCATGTTCTAACAAGAAGAGAGAATAAATCTCAAAGAGCTATGTATGATTGTAAAGTGATGTGTGTCGTAGATGTTGAAGCACAAGAGCTCTGCTGGTCTCTTAAGTTGCCTTGAATGTCACAGAGTTCTTAGTCAAAGTGTGTGAAAAGTGAAAAGTGTGTGTGTGTGTGAGACAGAGAGAACTGAAATTATTTTGGTTAAAAGCTATAGTTAATATGAGTGATTAGAACTATATTAAGAAAAAGAATTATGAAGAAAGGCAAACATGTTTATAAAAGGATGGATGTGTATTGTCTGGTTGTTTTTTTTTTATCAACTTAAAAAGAAAAAAGTTTTGGGGTGCCTGGGTGGCTCAGTTGTTAAGCGTCTGCCTTCGGCTCAGGTCATGATCCCAGCTTCCTGGGATCGAGTCCTGAGTCGGGCTCCCTGCTCCCCAGAAGCCTGCTTCCCCCTCTCCCTCTCCCACTCCCCCTGCTTGTGTTCCTGCTCTTGCTATCTCTCTCTCTGTCAAATAAATAAATAAATAAAGTTTTTAAAAAATTAAAAAAAGAAAAAAGTTTTATCTTAGGCCTTAGACATATGGACTCTGATCATTAGTACATCTCTAAATAATTGGAATGCTAAAAAAAATGGAAAGGGAAATTTGAGGTTGAAGAATAATTTATATAAGGCTTGATGTAAAGTGAATTATATTTACAAATAATGGATTCGAAAAGAAGCTATAAAATACATCAAATTTTGACCAAGTTAAGTCAATTTTGATGAGCTTGATCATAAAATAGAGAAATGCTCGGGAATCTTTGACTACAAAATGTTATTTAAGTGGTATACAAAAAGAGTAAGATTAGAATTTGATTTACTTTCTGTTACATTGCCAGACTGAGTTTTGAATCCACAGTCTGCTCTTAATTTAACAAAGGAAAAATCATTTCATGCCTTCAATATAGCTTTCCTGGACAACAAAAGTTACTTATGTCACAAAAATATTCCCTTTATCATAATTATCTTTTTGTTTTTTTTCTAATCTACTTCTTGCAAAATCTGGTATTCCTAATATCTAATGTTACTGTGGCTGTGTTACTTTTTTTGGTACTTTTACTAAAGGCATCTATGACTTTTGGTTCCTCTAACAATTTTTTCCAATATTGTTTTCTCCAAGTTCAAACCCCAAACTTAAAAACAAATTATTATGATACATTTTAACCTATCTTCTGGGTGTCCCAGATGCCTTCAAGACCACACCAAAGATTTTCTTCTTCACTATATAAAAGGAGGGATGCTAAAAATGGTAAAGTATGTTTAACATAGTTATAGAAATGAACCAAAGATGAATCTTTTTTTGACAGAGAGAGAGAGAGCACAAGCAGGTGGAATAGGAGAGGGAGAGGGAGAGGCAGGCTCCCCACCAAGCAGGGAGCCTGATGCAGGGCTTGATCCCAGGATGACCTGAGCCGAAGGCAGACGCTTAACCATCTGAGCCAGCCAGGCACCCCACCAAAGATGATTCTTGCATATTGGCCCCTATGTTGTTTACTTCTTACACCAGGCTAACACTTGAAAGCCTGCTGGCTCCAAACTCAAAATTCTTAGACATCCAATTGTTTTAAATATCTCCCAAAAAAAGTATAGTTTCAGCCATTTAGAGACTGTCTGCTTTGCATATCACACAAAACTGCAACCAACATCTGCTAGCCATACATAAGATAAACCTTAGGGCTGTAAAAGACCCCAACCCACTACAGATCAGAACTCTCTGATCCAGAGACTCCCCATCTTGCTGCTGAGTGACCTACCCAGATATGTAAGCCTTCTCTTTGACTTCCCTCTCCAAGGTGGAATCTATTTATCCACCTATTAATGTGTGTTGGCCTTGTGAATTGCTTTGGCCAAAAGAACCCAATGGAAGTGATGTTCTAGTTTTCAACATGTGCCTGAGAGGCCTTGAACAGTTCCATTCTCTGAACCTTACATCTGCAGAAGAACAAGCCAGCAAGCCTCTTAAGGATGAGAGACCACACAGAGAACAGACAAGTTGTACCCACTCAAGTGAACCTGGGTGGCATCAGCTGAGTCTAGACTAGATCATCAGAATTGCCTCACGAGAAATAATAGTTGTTGTTTTAAGCCATTACGTCTTGTGATGTTATTATAGCAATAGATAACTGATACACATATTTATGTTTTTACCAAAAGCTAATACAATAACTATCAAATTGATTTTTATTTTTTTAAAGATTTTATTTATTTATTTGACACAGAGAGGGTGAGGAGAGAGCTCGCATAAGCAGGGGGAGCAGCAAGCAGAAGGAGAAGCAGGCTCCCAACTGAGCAAGGAGCCCGATGCGGGACTCGATCCCAGGACCCTGGGATCATGACCTGAGCTGATGGCAGCCGCTTAACTGACTGAGCCATCCAGGTGCCCCTCAAATTGATTTTTAAAAAGATTTATTTCAGAGGTAAATTTTCTCCATCAATTAGTAGTACTCATGATGAACATTTTATGGGATAAATTTTTTAAAAACTTGAAGTTTATCAGTGCCCTCACTGTGAATAATACGTTCTTATTTCAAGGTGATCAATGACTAAATCCTTATGGAATGAACGTGTATATCCTCAATAAAAGATTCCATTCCTCTCCACTCTGATATTGTTGGTTGTTACATCAAATATATACTAAATACACCCCTTTTAGTCATATCTTCAACAGGTGGCTTCTTCCTTTCTCTCATACTTGTCCAAAGCCCCTAATACAAGTTATAGCTCATAAATTATGTCTTCTGAAAGAAATATCAAAAGAACGATCGCCTATAAAAAATGCATTTTCCTAACAATTTCTAGTAGAAGGAAAAGACTTATGACTACAGGCTTCTCAATTTAAACTGATATCATAAACATGAACCTACTGTGTGGCTCTTTTCATCCACAAACAGACAACTTTATGGGGTAGCCTGCTTAATCCAAGATCAGCAGAATAAGACTTAATTATCTTGGACTGAATAAATGAATTGAA